AAAAAAAGTCAAATAATTTCTAACCGCACGATACATGATGAATCACTAAAATGTGAGTATCCCTATAATTCCCACAATTTAAATCCGATGGATCCAAATCCGTCAAAAAAGCAAGTGTAAAAAGACTCCAACAACTAGCATTCCACTTGCTAAATTAACTCTTATTTAGGACCCACAATTAATATAATATATATATATATATATAAAATGCCAGAAGGAAAAAATGGTGAATCAAAATCATTCATAATTTCAAAAATACCTCTCTCTAATTAGAATTTTTAAAATAAAATAATTTAATTTATGGGTAATACTAGAATGATCAAATTTTTATACCAAATTTTATAAATCAAATGATATGGTGAATTATTACTTAAGAGTTGATTAACAAGCACATTATTTGGTTTAAAAATTTGTTCTCTCTAGCACTATCCTTAATTTATAATTTTTTTATTTCTTAAAAAATAAAAATAAATAAAAATTATAAGTAAAAAATATCATTCAAAGGAGTAAATTATTGCACGCATGAGTGTGCGGTAAATGACTGGATTTTATGTAAAATCCACAAGCACTGGAATTCAACAGAAAAATCCAAAGTCGAATCATTTTCTTATCAATTATTAGTAAATGGAAAGAGACAATTAACCGTTAAGGAAAATAGTAGCAAGATTCAGTAAAAAGGAGAAGAGGATCCTCTTTACAGGAATTCTCACATTCTAATCGTTTATCGTATATCGTACAATTAATTTTCATCAGGTACTATTGTGTTTAATTTTAAATAAAAAAGTCAAATAATTTCTGATCGTACAATGTATGATGAATGACTAAAATATGAGTATCCGTAGGATTCTCACAATTTAGATCCGGAGGGAATCCAAATCCGTCAAAAAGCAAGTGTAAACGGACTCCACCAACTAGTATTCCACTTACAAAATTAACTCTTATTTAGGACCCACAATTAATATAATTAAAAAACATAAGTTAGAATCTAAAGCATATGAGTTGAATATTCTGATTAGAATCTCAATTTCCTAGCATGTGCAGGTAAGCTTTGGACTATTCAAGAAAAATTACTTTCCCGGCTACTAAGCTCAATATTTTATTTTTGGTACAAAGGTAAAATTCATTACCAATAAAATCTTACAATACAAAGACTCAGAAACAAAAAACAAACAAGCATAATTAGACCAACCAAAAGTTGAGGCCCAAAACAAAAGAAAGCTAAATAGAACCGAGACAATGCATGTCGACCCACACAAATCTTCGCCCCCAATGAGCATCGCCTCGTCGATCTCATCATCCAATCCATATCATCACTCCTAGCAAAGCCACAAAATGTAAAGAACTTGTGACCGGTTGAAAGAAGTTTGTGTGATTCTACAAGCAACATTGCCAACAAAGGCAAACAACAAAAATAAGGTGGTGTTGTTAGGAGCACCTGACCTGGTTGAAGCACCAAAACTCTACTCACCAACTTGATGGACCGCAACAAATCACGCTGAAGCGTGACTGAAGATTGGAGCTTAGGCCATCTCCAATCGAAGGGTCCAGAGGGCCAGAGGGCCGAAAATAGCCCTAAAACCGTCTCCAACCGAGGGCTAGGCCAGAGGGCTCTGGAATCTGGGAGGGCCCCACAGGATCGGAGAGGGCTGGAGGGCTGGCTTATTTTTTTTTTAATGTTTTCTATTGCTGTCGGTTAAAACCGACAGCATTAAAGAGGTTTTATTTATTTTTTAATAGTTCTACTATTAGTGTCGGTTATAACCGACACTAATAGTTTGAATGTTTTTTAATATAACGGCTAGTAGCCGTTGTATTATTAGGCTTTTTTTTTTTTAATGAATTTAAACTTTTTTTTCCCTTTTTTTTTCCTTTTCATATTAATCAAATTTTGTTTCATATTTTTTTTCAATTCTATTTTACAAAATTTGATTCATATTTTTTTTTCCTATAACTTCTATTTCACAAAATTTGTTTTCATAATTTTTTTCAATTCTATTTTTTTCCTAGGCCATTTATACAACATTAAATTAAATTAAGTAACATGAAACAACATTAAACAATATGAAATAACATTAAATAACATTAACCAACATACAAATTATACAACATAAAAAAACATTTAACAACATGAAACTTAAACAACATTTTTAAAAACATGAAACTTAAACAACATTTTTTTTAATGAATTTAAACTTTTTTTTTTTTTTTTTTAATGAATGTAAACTTCTTTTTTCCCCCTTTTTTTTTCCTTTTCATATGAATCAAATTTTGTTTCATATTTTTTTTCCTATAACTTTTATTTCACAAAATTTGTTTCATATTTTTTTTCAATTCTATTTTTTTCGTATAACTTCCTAGGCCATTTATACAACATTAAATTGTAGTTTTTAAATAATAAATTATGTTTGGCCCTATGGCCCTTTGGCCCTCGGTTGGAGACGGTTTTTTGTGACAGGGCTAAAACGAGCCCTTTGGCCCTCTGGCCCTCGGTTGGAGACGGAGGCAAATATGGCCCTGTACTGTTCATTAAAATATTAATATCTTGGGGAATCTTGGAGGGCTAGAGGGCTCAAACGAGCCCTCTGGCCAGCCTTCGGTTGGAGATGGCCTTAGATGAATAAAGAGGAGAGACACTTATGGGGTGAGAATAAGAGGGCAAATCGGACAGGAAAGGAGGGAAAAAGCAACGGAAACAAGGAAATGAGGAGTTGAAGAAAGAGACGAAAGAACACCCATCGACCTTAACGGCACTGAAATTGAACGCAATTTGTAACCACTCACAAGAACGGTTAGAATCGCTCTCAAGCAAAGGGAATGTCTCTCTCCAACTATCTCAATATTACTTTGAAGCATGCAAAAAAATTACTTTTTGGGCAACTAAGCTCAACTAAAGTTTGGAAATTTCCGTTGGTGTCATTCTAATAAAAATGAAAACAAGCAGAGCTATTATTTGCGAACTCAGAAGCAGTTGGCTCATGAGTGTGAATTCTTTCAACGCAAGGGGCGGCCTGAGTCGGCATTCTTGTTTACTCTGATCCAGTTGAGGTGGTTTTCGTTTACTAGCTCATAGGTGGTCTAAGTTCCTATGACCGAGTCTTTATGGCCCCTGTGAGCATCTTTTATTAATGTATTAAAGAGGGCCTCTCTAACCGGTGAAAAGTGGTGGGTGTCCACTAACGACCATTCCTAGCTCGGCTCCGATAACGCAATTTCGGGAGAAGTCGGTAGTTGGGCACTGGATCCCTTCAGACTTGGAAAACGTGTGACTTTGGGTTGGGGTTTGGTGAACTAACTGGTCGCTTCTCTAGTTGAAGTACAGGGCCCTTTTTTCGTTGCCTAGGTTACACCTTTGGAATACCCCAAAAAGGAATTGCTCTACTTTCCTCAATCTTCACTTTACGCCACGCCAACTCCCCTTTCATCATAAGGCATGGAATTAGCAAGTTACGGGTCAACACAATATTTAGCATAAACTTGACAATTTCTTACACAACATGTTAATCCGACCTGAAGTGACACGAAAATAACAAGTTACGGGTCAACACGTTAACTCAACGGGGTTGTTATCGGGTCACACTTTAAGAACCTTTTAATTAATAATGGTTTCTTAATAGGTTTACTGCGGGTAACCCATTTCAACACGATAAAAAAAAGTTAGTTTGATAACTTTAAACTACTAAAAGACCTTACTACAACAATAGCCATAAGATTTAATCTCACTTATGTGAGATTAAATTCTTGCCGTTGGATTCTTTGATCTCGCTTATGTAATATGTAGATACTAATTTAGTACTACGTTTTTTATTTGATTATTTATTGATTTAAAAATTATTTCTTTAACGAGTGGGTCGGGTCATATTACTCGTTAATATTAAGAAGTCGAGTTCGGGTTAGGTATTATCCGTTCATTTTAACGGGTGTTACATGACACGACCTGTTAAGATATTGGGTATGTCAATAATACGACACAAACAATGGAAACACATCACAAATGTCATGTCTAATTAGCACATATTCAAGCAGCCTCAAGAATCCGAATCCCTCTTTGCATAGTCAGCTGCTTTTATAAACCCTTTCATAACATGCCTGAGCATGGTAAGTCAAGTTGACTATGACAATGTTTCTTTCTATATGTACCGATTGAGTTTGAATCTTTTTCACTATATTAGACTATCGCTCAAATAAGAAAACTCATTTTGATCAAGTAAAGGCCCCAATTCATAACACTCTTGTACTATTCCCATAATTCAAAGAGGGGTTGTAGAAAGATTTGGATCCCATCCGAATCTTCTTTCACATCTTATATGTTCATTGTACATAGTGCGACTATAAATTATTATGATTTTTTTATTTAAAATTAAACACAAACAATACTTAACGAAAGCTGGTCGCACGATATACGATGAATAGATAAGATGTGAGAACCCTAAGATCCTCACACAGAGGATCCGGAGAGGATCCTCACAAAGAAAATCCGAAGAGAATCCTCACAAAAAGGGTTTGAAGAGAATCATCATCCGTGAATTAGTTCCCTTACGTAATCAACCTTAATTTGATTAAGTACATAGGTAAGTGTCCCCGTTTTTTCAATTTTCACCTTGCCTAACCGAAAAGGTGTGTATTTGATAGTACTTTGAGGGATGTTGGTAAGATCCATCGTCCACATGTCCGGGTATAGTTGTGAACTTTCACACAATCTGTCGACAGTGACTGATTTATACACAATTCAATGGCCGGACAAAGAAAAAGGATGTACATAAATTATTTTCCTATATCGATGCTCACAATCACATTCACGAATGTGTAAGCGACTGTTGCTAGTTATAATTAATTTTACTTTTCCTTCTTTCTAGACTAATTTTCATATTAAATTACGAGGAAGTTCCCTCACTTTTTTTTCTCTCTTTCATTCTTCCCTCCTTATATTATATATAAATTAAGACCTCTAACCATTCTCAGTATCTCTCTCTCTCTCTCTCTCTCTCTTGTGCAGAAGAAAAATGAACTGTGTTGTTAATCATTCTTATGATCAGTTCTTAAAGCCCTTTCTCTCTATACTTATGGCAAAGACAATCCAACTACTCAAAGTTTTTATAATTAGTCCGGATGATCATAATCGCGACTGCGAACAAGATCTAGAAGCTGCAATGCAACAGGTTGCAGACAAGACTAATTGTAAGTACTACAACAACAACTTAGATTGGTCAAACATGATCATCATGTTTTGCTTGACAACAGCGATTGGGCTAGCGCTTCTTCCCGTTCAAATTCACTCTGGCCACCTCCCTGTAATCTTTTACTTTCTTGGACTATCAGTCTTGCTTGCCTTCACTTGTATCTTGGTAAGCAAGTTTGTTCACTTTAGCTACTGTCCTGCCGGAATATCGATCCCCCAACTTTTCCATAATTTTGGCTTTTTCTTTGGGGTCACAGCCTTCTTCATATCCCTCACCATCCCATTTCCTTTGTGGTTCAAATGTACTGCTTATTCTATCTACGTTGCCACCTTCCTCTTCATAAGACTTTGTAATCTTCACTTCAATAAATATTACAAACCTAATAGTTTTAAGTACCCAACCCTAATTAATTCTAAAACCGCCGTTGATCCTGCAACAGAATCATGCCGAGGCGTTACTAGTCCTTTTGATGATCAAGCATGCACCAATAGTATTGTGTGACGCGAAAGAACTCTCATGTACATATCCTGACTAGCTAGATTTGGTCCTGCGAATGGGGATCTCATATTTGTCGTAGGTTTCTATGTCAACTGTTTTTTTGTTATGTTTGGAGTTCCGTTGTCTGCAACCTCACTATTGCTGTGTTTCATCTAATCTAGTTAATTAATTTATTACTTTCTATGTCTTTTAGTGAAAGTGCTTTTGTTCACCACTCGGATGGAGAGTAATCTCTCGATGGGGCATTCATTGTCCATAACACCATGACGCATTTTAATAATTCAAATGTCAAAAATTGTAACAGTCCATTTATGAATTATTGGAATGGAACACATAAGAGCAAAAAGTAAAGGGAAGACTGAAAGAAATCTCTCCACATGGTATTCATTGACCATAACATCGTGATGTATTTTAATCCAAATTATCATCTTTCTATTATCGGAAATGTCCTTTTTTGTGCAAAATCTTAAAGTCAAGTTAAAAAATAACGATATAACACCTAAAACTAAAGAAGTTAAATCTAAACAAATAAGTAAAAATAGTTCTACATAACAATTACGTGGTTTCGCAAGAACCGTTAAATCAACTTGACATTCCATTTTACAACGAAAAATTTCGTAAAATAATTTGGATCCTAGCTTAGTTGTAGTAATAGAACACCTTCAACACCAAAAATAAATGCTTTCTACCTTTGTTTTTTGACAAACACATTGTAAAATGCCTTAATTAATGTGAACATAGATTCAAACTTATGTGCAAGAGGACGAGACGGGCACAGAGCCTTAGCCAAAATTCCTATCTCAGTCTCACCTACTGTTATCTCCCCCAACCAAACACCCCGCAAAGTCCCAATGTTCCAAAACCAAAACGTCACCTCAAAATTCAAATCCTACTTTCCCAAATTTCCATTTTCCCGCCCACACGCCCCGCACTTCCCACTCTTTCAAAATTTCTCGCCCCACTTCTAAACAGAATCCCAATCACTCACGCACTCACAAAAAAGCCCTATCGCTCTCTGTCCACCCCTCCCTTTCTCTAAGTTCCACCGTCTTCTCCGGCCATTCAGCCCCTCTCCGCTCTCTCTCTGCGCCGTACGCCGAATGGCTTGCAAGCGGAAGGCGAAGGCCGGAACCTCTTCAGGTTCTCCCCCGGAATCGAAGAAGCTGAGGCAAACCGAGGAGGCGAGAGTTGAAGAGGAGGTAGCAACGACTGTGGATAAAGCTGCTTCTCCGCCGAGGAACCCTGTGACTCAGGAGGTAGCTGCGGCTGATGATGACGGAGAGGAAGCGAGGTTTCTTGGCGAACCGATGGAAGACGAGGAGGCTCGTAAGCAATACCCCAAGAGATATGTTGGAAAGGTGAGAGATTTTGTTTCAAGTTCTGATTATTTTTTTCTAGAATTTAGCTTGGATTTGGTGAAAATGTTGGAGATTTAGGGTTTATAGATGATCAAGTAATATGAAGCTTTGGTAAGAATTTTGGTGAAGATGTTATTCTAGCTTTGGGAAGAATTTTTGGGTTTAAAGCTTTCAACTTGATTTTACAGTTCTTTGTTGGATTTGCTTATTGTTAAAGTTGCTGAATTTTCAAAGTGTCTTTTGGTTTTGTTGGAAACATTGGATGAATCTGGTGGTTGTGGTGGCATGGCGGGTGTGGTGAAACCCTCCCTGCCGCCTACCTGCCTCCCCTCCCAATAACTTTATATGAAGCTGCATAAAGTCTTTACCTTGTAGGTAGAATTATGCATTGCTGGTTATCAGTTGTGAGTCTTTTATGTTATTCTTTGGGTTATGAAAAGAATTGAAGAAATATTATGAAAGGAAAATTACAATCCTTGGATACTTATATTAAGCATAGTTATGATCAGTGGTAATGGGAAAATTTGAGAAGCAAACTGATACATTAGGTTAGTTATGACCAAAAGAAGAGAAGGTGATTCATCTGCCACTGTATTTGCTTCGCGAAATACACGCTGAAGATATTAAACTTGAGTATCAAGTATCAACCATTGGTATTAGCTTGATATATGTTGGTGGAATGCTTTACGATATTGTGCTCTTATTTAATTTTAACTGTGATCCTTGCATTGGTGCAGAAGCCAAAGATGAATGGGCAAAACAACTCCAACGAGTAAGTTTTAGTTTCTGTATATTTTATCTTTGGCTTCCTTCAAGTAGTCCTTTTGTGTTTTAACAGGTTGGTTACTGTTTGATTGTTTTTTCATTGTGTACCTTTGGTTTTTTATGTTCAATATAATCCAAAACAGTGATGAAGATATAATTCAAGCTCGTTGTCACTACACAAAGGCGTTGGTAGATGGAATCAATTATGACCTCTATGATGATGCCCATGTATTTGTGAGTTTGCATGACTCGTTGTTTGTTGGTATTCATTTACGAAGTATTTATAGAAACACTAACAAGTGAGAAGTAAGATTAGATCAATTGGTCTACTCCATTATCTGATTGAATAATCATAACAGTTTCCCTATTGCAACTCTACAAAAGTTAGCAAAATTCATGTGCACATAATGTTTTTGTATACTGTTTTGTTTCCATATTATGTGATTTGACAATGTTTTCCATTCATTTTTATGTTTAGTCAGGGGAGAAAGAAGAGCCATACATTTGTAAGATTGTGGAAATGTTTGAGGCAATTGGTGGGCTATTGTATTTTACTGCACAATGGTACTATAGATCACGAGACACTGTAAGATTTTTAAAAGAAACCAATTCATCATTCTCTTTCAAAATACTTTGTTTCATGATTTTCTTACGTTGAACAGTAAGGATCCAGTTATTGGGCGCTGAATTATTATTTTCTTGTAGGTCATAAAGCACTGTACTACTGTTGCTTGTGGGCGTGTATTCTTTTCAGATGTCCGAGACGATAACCCTCTGAATTGTCTTGTTGAAAAACTTCATATTGTTAGACTGACACTAAATGTATGCTTGAAGTTTCCGCGTTCATGCTTTTATTTTGTTCATTAAGTCCAGCATGAGGTGAGTTATCTTTTTTTCTCTCAGGTTGATGAAGATTTGAAGAGTAAATCAATTCCGGTGTGCAATTACTATTGTGACACCAAGTACCTGCTACCGTATTCTACTTTTGTCAATCTGCCGGCAGGTTATTGTTCTCTTTGTACTCATTGTCGTGATACTGGTTTTTGCTTTTGTTCATTTGGAAGGCTCCAATGTGTTCACATGTTATTTCTTATTTTGAAATTTTAGAAAATATGCAGACTGGAAGTGATGACTCAACTATCTCTGTTGAGGATGATGTTTGTTTGGATAGCGAGGTTGATTCAAAGCTGCCAAATGGAGAGCGTGCCAAATCAGAAGTAAGGCTCTTAGACCTATATTCTGGTTGCGGAGCGATGTCTACTGGCCTGTGCCTTGGTGCACATTTGGCCAATGTCAATCTTGTTACAGTAAGTCCCTATGTCTTAATTCAATTTTAGTTATTTTTTTCACATCAGTTCAATATATGTCAAGGCAAAGCTTGATATTGATTTCTTGTCTATGTCTTTTAGAGATGGGCTGTTGACTACAATAAGTACGCTTGTAAGAGTTTGGCACAAAACCATCCAGAGACAGAGGTTTGTGTTTGTATTTTTCCCGTTTTCCTCACATTTGATGTGATGCTTTAATTTTGTTTGGTTGATAATTTATTGCCTAACTCACACATTAGGTTCGAAATGAAGCTGCTGAAGATTTTCTCACAATGCTCAAGGCATGGAGAAAACTATGCATGTGTTTAAAGTTGGTTGAGAATGACAATTTAGAGGAGGATGTAGATAAGAGTATACTTGATTTCTTTGGAAAGGAAGATGATGAAGAGGAAGAGGAGGATGAAGAAGAGGAAGATGTTAGTGGAAATGTCAAGAATGATTCTGAAGTTTTTGAAGTTGATTGCGTCATAGGAGTATGTTTTGGTGACCCCAAAAAAACAGAAAAGAAGGGAATATACTTTAAGGTATCAACTTCGAAATTTATAAATGCACTTTTTTAAATATTTATAGCGATATATAGTATGCGAGTGCGTGTTATTGCAAATCTAAATTCATTAGTTCCTTATGCAAAATTTGCTTGGCTTGTGATGTATTTAGATTCATTGGAAGGGCTACGGGCCTGCGGAAGACACCTGGGAGCCAATGAATGAATTGGAGTATGCAACTGTTATTTATGCTTGCAGGATTATCAGATGCATGTTTTAAATCATTTATGTACTGTTATGTTTTAAACTAAAGCTCATGTTTTTCTGTCAAACAGGCATTGTAAGCAGGCTATCAAAAAATTTATTACTGAAGGTTACAGATTGAAAAAATTGCCTTTACCGGTAAGTAAATGATTTTTTCACTGAAACCTTGAATTGGAATTCGTAGATGCTTGAGTACAGATTATCGTCATCGATGTTTCATTTAATATTGTTTTGGACATTTTCTGATATCCTGCTGTAGGGTGATGTTGATGTGGTGTGTGGGGGACCCCCTTGCCAAGGAGTTAGTGGTTTCAACAGATTTAGGAACACAGAAAGTCCATTAGCAGATGACAAAAACCAACAGTTAGAGGTGTACATGGACATAGTTCGGTACCTAAAGCCAAAATTTGTTTTAATGGAAAACGTTGTCGATATTTTAAAATTTGCCGATGGATTCCTTGGACGATATGCCTTGGGACGCCTTGTAGATATGAACTATCAAGTGAGGATGGGAATGATGGCAGCAGGTGCATATGGGCTTCCGCAGTTCCGTATGCGAGTTTTTTTGTGGGGGGCGCGTCCTACTGAGGTAGGAATGGATAAATTACCAAGTTTTACTATGGTGCAGGTTTAATCTCATAGGCTAATTGTTTTGAGTTTTGCAGATCTTGCCCCAGTACCCACTTCCTACACATGACGTTGTTTCAAGGGGTGTTACTCCTACACAGTTTGAGGTACGTGTTCAAGTGCTTGTGTTTTGAGTTGTCTATGGTTTTGTAGTAAAACGTGTGAAAAATGCAGGGGAATGCCGTTGCTTATGATGAAGGTCATCAGACCCAATTAGGAAAAAGTCTTTTTCTGGATGATGCGATTTCCGATCTGCCTGCTGTAATGTCTTCTAAAATTTTCTTTCTTAGGTGTTATTTTTTTTCCCTTTCACATTCCTTCTTTCTTATTTCTATCTATCTTTGGACATAGGTTGCAAATAATGAAGAAAGAGACGAGATGCCTTATGGGGTGGCACCCAAGACAGAGTTTCAGAGGCTTATTAGACTAAGCAAAGAATGTAAGACGCTCCAATTCTTTTCGAATTTTGATGTATGATTTTTTGGAACTGTCATATTTTGCAAAAGTTGATTAACATTCTGTTCGATACAGACCTAATGGGGACTTCAAAGGACAACTCTATACAAAACGTTCTTTATGATCATCGCCCTCTTCAGTTGAATCCCGATGATTATGCACGTGTTTGTGAAGTTCCCAAGAGAAAGGTCCGTTCTTATTCATTGAATGCATGGTCACATTGCTTTGTCATTTATACAGTTCCTTGACAGAATCCTATGCTCTTTGTGACAATTTATATGTTTACTTTTGTTTCTTGGGAACTAGGGTGCATGCTTCAGAGATCTTCCAGGTGTTCGTGTGCGTGGTGATAACAAGGTTGAGTGGGATCCAGAAGTACCCAGGGTGTATTTGGCTTCTGGCAAACCGTTGGTAAAAATTTATCTGTTTTCTACTGATTTAGTTTTGTTGCAACTTTGTGTGATTCTAATTACATTGTAATGGTAGATCCCAGATTATGCTATGAGTTTTGTGAATGGGTCTTCATCGAAGTAAGAATTCGAGTTTTGTTCAAAATTTTAAACTTATTGTTGTGTGGTTTGGTTGCTTAATATGAATTTTTAATGAAATTATGCAGACCTTTTGCCCGTTTGTGGTGGGACGAAACTGTGCCAACAGTGGTCACAAGAGCTGAACCTCATAACCAGGTATACCCTAATGTAATTTGACAGTTATTTTCAGACACGGAAAGACGATCATCTGCTCAGTCTCTTGTATTTATTTTCAGGCAATTATGCATCCTGAACAAGATAGGGTGCTGACAATTCGTGAGAATGCCAGGCTACAAGGCTTTCCGGATTTTTACAAGCTCAGCGGGCCTATAAAAGAAAGGTATCCTATTTTTAACCGTCTTTTACCCATATTCTTTGGTCAATGAGGCTAAGGGAGTTAGAATTTGAGACATCACTCGATTAACAGCTAGTTATTAATTCAATCCAGAGGGGTGGTAGGTATTTACGTTTGGAATCGTTTCAGGTACATGCAGGTTGGAAATGCTGTTGCTGTTCCTGTTGCGCGTGCACTGGGCTATGCATTAGGTCTTGCTCTTAAAGGTTCTGCTGGTGCTGATCCCCTTTTTAAACTGCCTGCAAATTTCCCTAACCTTCAAGATCAGGTTCATTCGGCATCCTCTGAAGAGGAGAATTGATTCACTGTTGTTACAGTAGGATTTATTCATCTTTGTTGCAACTTTACATTGGAGAACAATATTAGTTTGGAGTAATGTCCTCGGATGAACGATGTCCTTGGATTACTCGGGAATGAAAATTTCAAACCTTTGAGTTTGCGTCTTCTGCACTTTGGTTTTGAGTAACACTTTGTTCTGACGTTCTTTATGGTTTGTTTGGAAGTGCTTTTAGAATAACTGAAAGCGTTTTTAGATTACCAGAAGTTAAATTGTATTGAGCACTACAATCTGTCAGTCAGAAATGAAACGTAAACAAGAGAATGTTATAAAAGGTTGAATCTTGAACCATCTAATATTCATCGTACAATCATCATTCTCGTTCACCAAAGTATAAAAACATCCATCAATTAATGTTACATCTGAGTTCGAATCCTTTTCTCCGTCACTTGGTAGAGTCGCTTTGTCTGAAGAAGCAAGTGTTCAACTCATTTGGGCGGAGGGTTTGTTGATCTGGCAATAGGGAAGGGAGGCAACCGGAGCACAGCTTCCTCCGTCTCAATCGGGTCGGATCTCAGTATCTGCCAACACCAAAACAACATTCCAAACATTAGAATTGAACAAAGAGGGGGAGAGAGAGAGAGAGAGAGAGACTGACAGGGTCTTGGAGAACTGGTTTGGTGTCGTCTTTGGCTGGAATGAAGGGAGGCTTTGTGGACTTGTCTTTGTTGTTGCCGGATTTCCTTGAGGTTTCAGAGTCCGACCCCTTCATTGTTTCTTCTCTCTCGCTGAAATTTTTCTCCTCCGCTGAATGCGATGACGGCGCCTTTTTATTTGGTGAATGGCGGAGTTGTGAGAAAAAGTATGGGCCTTTTACATAAGGCCGGAACTGAGAGCCCATATATAACCCGAACGACATTACAGAGGATTTTGGATAACAAGTGGTCCATAATCCAAATTTCTTTTCTTAACTATTGCTTGGCTCCTTTGTATGATTGGAGTCGATCCGATCCGGGACTGAGATGCAAAGACAACCACATAGTAATATCCTTTCAAGCACTTCTAAAGGGATATGATTTTCTTTCTTTTTTCGACAACCAGTATAGAAAGTATCTCACCCCGTCTGTAATTCTTATCCGTCCCCAGACGCTAAATGAGTTTAGGAGTGAATGAGCTAATCCCGATCATTCTCTCATAGGGTGCTTGCAAATTACAGTATGACACAATATATAAAATAATAGGGCTTGATATTTTTTTTTTTGGGTAATGGAGAGACCAAAATTTTATATCAAAATTTGTAAACCCAATGATTTGGTTATGGATAATTGGATTATTAAGTGCTGATTAACGTGTTTATTTCCTATTGGTGACACATAATCTGGTTTGCAATATTGTTTAAAAATTAGGTCTACTTAACATTACCTTTTCTTATAACAACCTGAATAAGATTTGTCTGGTTTGACCAACCAATAAAATGACTCCATGTGGTCAATTATTTGTAAGGTGGACTTTTAGTGACAATGAAATATATTGAACAAATTGGCCGTGTGAGTAATAAATATATAGACAAATCGATGGTGTGAGTAGTAAATAGCATATTCAATAAACTGTTCATTTATTCAATACATTTTTTGTTTTATAAATATAGAGTTTGTATGTATGGTGAATATGTGGTTCCAAATTTCTGTAGTTTTGCAGTTCCTGCCCCGGAAAATCAATGGAAAACGAAGTTTTTAGAAAGTTGGTAGTGTGGGAAAGAATTGTTTATTGAAAGGTACTAGGCATCAAACCAAGGACGGAGCTAGAAATGTTTTTGACTGGGGGTGTCCTAAAACAACCAAGTAAAATAATGGATGTTAAGTTGTTGAGAGTCAGGTACAATGAAAAATCTCTAAATTAAAAAGTTAAATTTTAAATTGTAATGCCACAAACGAATGGATAAAGTAAATTCATATAAAATACTTTGCAGAGTAAAATTTTTATATCAAGTTATGATACTTCATCGGTTGAATCCAATCTATTTATGAAACCCCTAGTTCAATTGAGTTTGATTTAGGTTAGAAAACGTGGAATATTCAGAACCAAAATAAAAAATTTAATTATTGTTTTAATTGTCATGACAATTTTTTTCATCGCCCAAAAATCTGAGTGGGGCGGATGCCCCCTCTGGGCCTTAGGTAGCTCCGCCCTTGCATCAAACAATGTAGACACTGATCCGTCCCTCTTCTTTTAGAGACTGTAATTTTAGCCAGTGCTTGCTCAATGTGAGTTTCTTTGGTCAAAGTAGATTCCTTCATCTGCAAAAACTTGCGTACCAAACCTTCCCGGTCGTAAAACATTAGGGTCCATTACATCCGGTCTGTTAAAATAGAGGACAAAAACTTCGAAATGCATGCTCAATGATAATTACCATGGAGATGAGATCCTCTCCGGATCTCATTGTCCGGAACCAAGAACCAGCAAATTGGACCACTCAAATCGAATCCCCCATTAACTCATTCTGCAGACCAATTTCACACCAACAAAGAGCCCGGATATCTTTTTCTTGAACCGTCCAGATTTGCTTTAGGCACTGAACAGTGAGGTGCGGAAAAAATCTCAACTCATTACCTGCTTTCCCCCCGTTGCTATCAAAGCATCAACGTGAGGAAACATCCTCAAGCATCAATGTGAGGAAACTTCCTTGACGTAATTTCAACCATACGTAGCATCGCACTACCTGCTCTTGTGTGAAAATTATGGTGGGAACCGAAAGTCTTGACAGTGACATTCTTATTTACCGCTTCTAATTTGGGCAATACAACGTTCAATCCTTGATCGCGTGCTTTCACATCAGAGGGTAAAGTTCCAATTTAGACTTGGTAAATTTAATTTGCAAATTACCCTTTGCTATAAAATGGAAAATGGGACAAAAGTTACACAAGTGCGCGTCTCAATTATTTTTCTTGCTGTGCAGTGCACTGTACACACCTCGTTCCACCAGAGTAACTACATAAAGGCTTTCACTCTCTGCACGCTTCACTATTTGCTCATGGCTTCAGCTTCCAGATCAAGCACTTGGCTTTTCAGTCTGTCGGAGAATTGGCTCCCAATGGCTACTATAATATTCGCTTGCGGGTTTGTCGGTTACGCTGTTTACGACGCAGTGATGGCCACCGTGTCTGAGCTGCTGCAACGTTTGTTGGTAATTTCTCCTTTACTTATAGTCATTGTAGTTCATTGGCTCTCCACAGGCAGCCAAGTTAACATTAGCATTCCGGGGTCGGAGCCCGGAGCCATCCATAGAGCCGGGGGATCGCCTTGGGGTGTGGCCTTTGTACTATTTCTGCTCTTCTTTCTCATATCTTACCAGCCTTCCTTGCATGGCCTTCTTTTCTAGTTTAATTTATGTCTTTCTTTTGGAAGGGCAAGTATGAAAATGTAATGTTCGTTTCTCCTCTGAGTGATTTGTGTGGCACTCCTTTTCCAAACATTCCTCTGATTGATTTGTGTGGCTATCCTTTTCCAAACATGCTTAATAATGTGTGTGTAAATCTAATTAATTGCTACTTCAACTTTGTTACTTTCTTAAGAATCCTTGAGATCACTTGAGCAGTGCTCAAATCCCCCTCGAGTGGTAAAAATTCAGAAGGAAAAAAAGTGCAAAAAGTAACAAATTACCTAAACTATTTTTTCCAGGATTCGTTTGCGTTTTTACTAGGAATTTCACAAACTCTTCAATAAGTGAGGTGCATTACTGATGATCCCAAGCCATGGACTATCGAGCATATTGCTAATTTATGTTTAATTTTCTGCCTTCTGCCACATTATTTATTTATTAATATCTTCTACCCAACAAAGAACAGTTGAAAAAAAAGAAGAAGCAAGAAATGGACATATTGCTGACTTTACTGTGGTTTGATTAATGGGAAACGAAATTATGCAGAAGCCAATATGAAAGTGTATTATTTTTTAGCTGAGTGTACTACCAGTTCAACGGGGGAGCTAGGACAACCAGGCAATGGATCACTCCCTAACTAGAAACCTAGACAGTTAATTGTCGACTAATTAGTTTCTATAATTAAGTCAAATTTAGGCTGATCCCCCGCTAATGAAGTAGAGCCTCTATCTATACAAAGGTATGGACCTTCCATATATGCAATAAGAAAATCTGAACATACATTTTCTGTAAAACATTAAGGACATTAGTATGTTTTTGAAAAAAGTCACTCGAGGTTGGATGACAAGAACTTGATTACACTTTATAATCAATCGCGCATTGTGATATGAGAAAATTAATATGCATTATGATGCATAATTGGCTTGGAATGTAGTCATGCTATCATCAAAGTTATATATATATATAGACACATATATATGTTTTTCTGTCACTCGAGGTCCCCTTGAGCAGTGTTCGAGCCCTCTCGAGACTCCTCAAGCAATGCTCGAACGAGGAACGTGGTTAATGGTTCAAGCCCCCTTCAAACCCAAATTTGTTTTTGTTTCGAATATTGCGTTTAGACAACCATACATATGTATGCGTATGTGCTCTGCCTGCCGCAGTTTTGTGTATAGTTAGGTTACAATCTACCCGGCCGTCCGTACAGGCACTGTGGGCGGTGGGCTTCCAGTGCTTCATGGCAAGAGTCCCGTGATACTGACGTATTGTCACACACACACACACACACACACACATATATATAATATTGGGAACTGGGTAGTGCTTAATTGCTCATACTTGATTCATTAGTCAGTGTTTGAGTCGAGAAAATGAGTTATCAATGTTATAAAACTATGGACGAAACTGTAGAAAGAAATGAGAAGAAGAGAGTAGAAAAAGATAAAATATCTAAGCTATAAAGAAATTCGGGTCTGATATAATTTAAACGATGACTTAAAATTTCATGTCTTACGACAATAGTGGAGAGATTCAAATGTCCTCAGCTTTATTTTTTTTCGAGAATTAGATGACTTCAACTCACGATTTAAATTGTCTAACTAATTAAAGTTGTACACTTGTAAGAATTTTTTTTTTCTGAACGAATGCGATTTCTAGCAGTCTAGCTGTTTGGCAATTATACCAACTGTTGGTGATGTTGTAATGTTGGACATTGATAGCACCAGATGGCACCAATACCTATTCCAGCTATATATGCATCACAAGCGAAAACACCTAATGACACTTTGATTTGGTTTGCTATCAGTATCATTAGCTTCCCACGGTCAACACACCCTTTTTCGCTGGCTTAAGGGGTAAGAACAATATCTATCTAACCACACGTAACTAAGGATAATATTTATTTTCCATCATCAACCACAGCCACGATTAATGGAAGAGGGGATTAATTATGCACCACATACGTATTTAATATTTTTGTGGTGGAGTCTTAGTACAACAGAAAGATTTGTTATTTTGTGACTGAAAGTTCAAATGTTTGAGTCGTGGAACAACATCTTTGCAAAACAAGGGTAGGACAACTTATGATAAACGTTCCCCCCTTCTCCCTTCTTGACCCTCGCAAAAGAAAAAACCTTATTAGCTTTGAGTCGCCCTTATATGTATTTAATATTTCTCTCACGCAACATACTTAACAGTCACCTTACACATATATAAGTCTAATACATGTGAGAATGAGAATAATAGATACAAATATAGATATAAGAACTAATACTTTTAATCAGAAATACGTAAATAATCAAAATACGGAAAAACAATATCTAACTCATGGTACAAAAATAATCAGATGCCATCATCTTTGAGTCTACGAGTTTCTTTTTCTTTTTCTAAAATGAAATTCTAAGTGATTTGACTATAAAATGGAAATTTTGAGGGATTGTGAAGAGTTAACCCCATTATAAACTTAACAATAAAAACATACAACAAATTTTCCTAACAGAGTATATGAGCTATAATGAAAAACTCTTCAATGTGGGATAAATCTTATGAGATGGTTGCAGGATTAATCGGTCAATTAGGCCATCTCCAACCGATGGCTGGCCAGAGGGCTCGTTTTAGCCTTTTGGCCCTCCAAGATTCTCCAAGATATTAATATTTTAATGAACAGTACAGGGCCATATTTGCCTCCGTCTCCAACCGAGGGCCAGAGGGCTCGTTTTAGCCCTGTCACAAAAAACCGTCTCCAACCGAGGGCCAAAGGGCCATAGGGCCAAACATAATTTATTATTTAAAAACTACAACTTAATTTTATTTAAAAATCATGTTGGTTAGTGTTGTATAATTTTTATGTTGGTTAATGTTATTTAATGTTGTTTCATATTGTTTAATGTTGTTTCATGTTACTTAATTTAATTTAATGTTGTATAATGGTTTAGGAAGTTATAGGAAAAAAAATAGAATTTAAAAAAAATATGAAACAAATTTTGTGAAATAGAAGTTATAGGAAAAAAATGGAATTTAAAAAAAAATATGAAACAAATTTTGTAAAATAGAAGTTATATGAAAAAATATGAACCAAATTTTTGTAAAATATAAGTTATAGGAAAAAAATAGAATTAAAAAAATTGAAACAAATTTTGTAAAATAGAAGTTATAGAAAAAAAAAGAAAAAAAAAGGTTTAAATTCATAAAAAAAAAAAAGGTTTACAACGGCTAGTGGTGCTAGCCGTTGGAAGTTTAAATTCAAATTGTTATTTTTGTCGGTTATAACCGACAGAAATAATATATATTATATATATTATATTATTTCTGTCGGTTATAACCGACAGAAATGAGAAACATTAAAAAAAAAAATAGCCAGCCCGGGGCTGGCTGGCTGGCCGAAAGCAGCCAGCCCTCCAGCCCTCCAGCCCTCTCCGATCCCATGGGGCCCTCCCAGATTCCCGAGCCCTCTGGCCTAGCCTTCGGTTGGAGACGGTTTTAGGGCAATTTTCGGCCATCTGGCCCTCTGGACCCTTCGGTTGGAGATGACCTTATATTCCACTAGAGTAGTGCTACATTGATCGCATTTTGTATACTATATTTGTGACAATCTCTCTAATAAAAGGACATAGCCCACCAATACAAGTAGATTTATCACATATTTATTAGAAGAATGTTACAAATATGCTATAGTTATAAAAATGTTGTAAGAGTAGCATATGTTTGCATTCCGCAGCACCACCGCATTGGAGAAAACATGGAGTTGTGTACCATGCCATAAGAGATGATTATGGCCAAACTAAAAGGAGAATAAGCAATATGATGCTTTATAAAATTGTATTTATAGGATATCGATAAAGAACAATTTTATGTGATAAATACTCAATGATTAATGGCCAGCATTCATAAATGATGAACTCATGATGACGATGGGCCTGGCAAGAAGCTACAAGAATATGGAAGAGCATCTTCTCCGAATCTACTATGTGAAGATTCTAGGAATCTGCATATTCTAACCGTTCATCATATATTGCGCTACCAGTTTTCGTCATGTACTATTTATGTTTAAGTTTAAATAAAAAAAGTCAAATAATTTTTTATCGCACGATACATGATAAATGATTAAGATATGAAAATTTTTAGGATTCTCACGATTTGAATCGGATTGGATCCAAATCCCAAAGAATATCACAAGACCAAGTTGCATACAGTAATCTCAAAACAAACGGCAATATTTAGGTATACCCAGTTTCGTGTTTGCCAAAAAGATCAACAAGCCAAAGCCAAAGCTTTAGTACTATTACAAATTCATATAACGTAAACATCCATTTGCACATATACATCTAATAAAATCATCATCATCTACTTAGTAAGGGAAACCAACGTTCCTGCAAAGAAGACTGGTAAGAGATCATGATCAAAAGGAACACAAGCACGAGTCCAACACCCCACGGAGACCCTCCGGCTCTGTGAAGCGAATCCTGCTCCGGCAGCGGCACCAAAAACGATAACCCACCCGATAAGCAGTGGACGACAAGCAACAGAATGATTGGAACAAGCATGAGGAAGAGTTTGACTTGAGTCATCAAGTCCTCAATCATGGACTCGTAGTTTATGTACCATGTGAAGCCCATGATGAAGACGAGGATTGAAATGAAGAAGCCAAGGTGGAGAGGGATGGAGAAGTAGTCCCAGTAAGAATAATAGTCGTAGTCCCTAGCCATGTTAGGCTTTTGAAATTTGAATATGGGGTTTCAGTGAAGGTTTTTACGTGCGACTGGTTTTTTGTAGAGTAAACTGGTTTGATCTTCTTTGGGAAAAGGTTGTGCGGTGAACGAGGTTTATATAGACAATCTACGAATTATTTTTTATTTTTATTTTTACTTTGCAATTATTTTGTTTTCTTTTTTCTAAAGGGGTTCGTGTAACTTTTTCTTTATTGGGTCAAGATCCATCGGGATAATTCCCAGTGACGGTGAGAGCAATCTATGGTTGAGATTCGTTAATTGAGGTGTCTGCCTATGAGAAAATGCCACGTACGACCGACCATGAACAAGAATATGGGAAGATGAGAATAAGAATATTTGAAAAATAAAAATGGGAGGTTTTGTTTTAGTAAAGGCAAAGTTGCGAGGGGAACATATTATTCGGAAAGTCGTGCCTAAAATGGTGGTCCAAGTCACCTTTGCATGCTTTATGTATATTTTAAGCTGCTAAAGGAAATTAGTGAAAGAGATATAGATGTATGTTCTTGGTTTTTACACATCCAGTTTTCTTTATGTGCGACTGAATGCTTGCTTCAATTTGAATCGGAACATATATAAAATAATCAACACATCCACTTTTCTTTTTGTTAGTTAATAATATTTATACACATATTGACATATTTTTTTTTGTGATTTACAGTTTATTGAATTAAGATCGAATGATAAATGATCTACAATTTTAGGAAAATTAATGAAAATGACTTGAAAACTTTGAGTTTTAACGATAAGTACAAAATAAATGGTATAATGAATAGTACCAGGATTGATTTTTTAATGTAAAAATATGATTTTTCATTAAAGTGTATAGTACTGGTAACTTTTCGTTAAAATTCCCTACAATTTTTATAACCATAAGGTCGAGGAGAAGATGATTCACATGAATTGTTGTGGCCACTAAAAATGGTCAAGACTTCTTCGGGGCTTAGAAACCACGCATGCACAAGCAGCTTAAAATCATTCAGAGCCTCATTCATAACTGGGTTTATCTAAATGGGAAAGAGATCATCTCCGGATCTCTTCCATCAAGACCATCAGATCAAGTGATCTAGATCTTTCAAATTTTATCCAACAAAGCCTTTAAAAACTGTGATAATTTTTTACTGTTAAATGAAATTTGAAAAACTCTTATTTGATCCGGTGGTGAGAGATCCGGAAAGGATCTCTTTACAACTACAAGAAACCAAGCAACTTGACATTACTTGGCACTTGGCAGCATCATGATGACTCAAATCAAAGTACTTTTGGTCAAGAAATCAAAGGACATGCGGTGTCCCATTAAGCGTCGGCATAATATTTGATGGACCCATCTAATGATCTTTTTTCACACTAGGTTTCCATTTTATGATCCACTTTTGATACTCATTTCTTAAGACATTAAGGTTATCTCCAATGGTAAGGAGGGAAAATTAACAGGAAGCAGATTGTCTGCCCTCCTATTTGGGTATCTTTTCATTCATTTCTGTTTTATGTGGTCACGGTTAAGTTAGGTTAATATTTTATATTAATTTTTTATACAGATAATAAGACAAAAAATAATAAGAATACAAAATATTGACGTGGCTTAATCGTGATCGCACAAATAGGAGGGGATGAGATTGACACTCAAATAGGAGGACAGACAATCTACCTCCAAATTAATAACTTAGTATCGTAAGTTTAACTATTTATAATTATTATTTTTCTCTTAATGGTAGGGGACTCATAATTTAGGAACTAGCTCCAATACTTTTATATATTTAATACAATTCATCTAACGGTCATATCCGGTGATGAATTTAGTTGCTAATTTTCAAAAATTACCATAGAAACTGAGCAATTAAGCTTGAAGTAAAGCTTTGTTCTCTTGTTTTGACAACTGGCTGATTTTGTGTTATTTTCTTCTACTTGTTATCTTGCACCTCTGTCAATTGGCGTGGAGGAGGTTTTGCATGATTAGAGTGAGAGGATGGTGGATCAGGAGTTGGAGGGAAGCGCGGAAACATCTCTCAGTTGTCGGCATCTCTGAGTCAGATGCTCTGTGCCTACGGACTTGACCCCAAGTTCACGCATATATCGGGGAAAAAAATAGTTTGCGATAGAAGGAAGAAAAAAAAAAAAAAAACAGTAAACACTGACTTTTCTTGTTCTCAAATTTTGTGTTGGTTGTTTAGTTGATCTTGAGTCCAAGTTTTGAAAAGGGACTTATCAAACAAGTTTTTAGGCTGAAAATTGAAAACCAGTTTTAGAATTAAAAAAATTTGAACTCAAGTAAAGTACCAAGCGAGGTTTAAATTTTCTCCAGAAGCCAAGATCAAGGCAAAGGAAGAGAGGATGGAGAAAATTATGAACTGGAATGCCGAGATGGGAGAGAGCCTGGTCATGATTTTGGCACTCTTTTATGCCTCTTTCGCGTGGTTTTGTAGGTTTGTCTAAGGTCAGGTCAACAACGCCGTTTGGCAAAACTCTTTTTTCAAATGATTTGACTTTCATTTATTAATTCCACACCGGAATTAATAATAAAAAGGAATTAGTTATGTTATAAATTATAATAAAACTGTTTTCGTGCAGTGAAGTGATTAATGAATGGTTAGACAAGACAAACAAGGATACGCATGAGATCTAATAGGTTAGAAGCAATGCATCCGTTATTTGTATTTAAATTTGAATTTCTTATTCATGAATTAAAATTGTTGAATTAGAATATCGTCTAATAGAAATCGGTAAACATTTCCCTAAAACCCATTTAAACAAGGGAATTTTGATGCACTGTCATAGTTATGTTGTATAACTCGCCAAGTTGGCATGTCTCTTTTACTAGACTTTTCCTACTAATCGTGGTCAAGTCTTTGCCCCATAATATGGAGTGCCACCTGCATCTCTTTGAGATCAATTTGTTTTCCAAAAGAAAAAGGTTGGGATAAATTCCAAAAACAAAAAGAGTTGGTCCGTTGACGTTGACGTTGACGTTGACGTCACCTAACCCTTTCTTTTTATTCTGATTTATACACATCATATGTATAATGTATGAATGCCCACTAAGAAAGAAAATTGTATTGGCATAGTTAGCAATTTAGTTTATTTTATATATTGGATTATTTTATATTTTATGTATTAGAATGTTTCAGTAGAGAAAGAATTATGATTGCTTTCAAATTTGTTATTAAAGTTCAAGATGGTTTTTTTTGCTTGTTTTAGGATTAGGCATTTATAAAACGCTTTTTATAACTGCATAAGAATTATGTCGAGACAATAAAATTATGAGTTTGAACTTTGAAGTTATTATTATTTTTTTTTGAAAATTTGAAATAAGTTTGTTTCTTCTTTTGAAGTTATTATTATTATCTTTTGAATGACTAAAATTCTCTCTCCTCATATTTGCATCCCCTTCTCTTACATTATCTTATTTTTTCTTTTTCTTGTTATAAAAAATTAATATAAGAGGTTGACGTGGCTTAACCGTGACCGTTAAAATAAGATGGGGAAAGGAAGGGAAAAAAAAGGAGGGGAGAGAATGCTACTCCCTTTTGAATTGTTAACCTATTGTGTCAAATGAAGTACCAAAAATAATTTTTTTTTAAAAAAAGGAAGAAGGAATTGTATCCAGCTAGGTGTAGACATTGTCAAATGATAAAACACTCTCTCACCCGTGTCTGATCTCGACCGCTGTTAATTAATTTTTTTTAATTTAATGTCAAAAATAAAGATGGGTGTGTAAACAAGTTAAATGAGGTGTGTAAAAATCATCTTCCGCATACAATAGGTTTGTATGCTCCTCCTCATTAGTTCATCTCTCTCGTCAAATTTTTAGCCATCCAAAGAGAGAGAGAGAGATAAGAAAGAATGGCGTATACAGAATTGTTGTAAGTAGGTTATTCCCCTCCATTGAACCACAAAAAAAAGACTTGGGGAGACCCCTAAAATTTTGGCAGGCTTGAAATGAAGAAAATTTATTTTTCATCTATCCGTCCTCTGCTGAGTTATTGAACACCAACCAAATGCATATAGCCTTGGAGAATGACTCGTACATAAACAAGCATACAAATACTAAATTCTAAATTAGTTCCTAATCATGTTTGCCAATACTTGATAAAGTAAACTCAACCACGGTACTAAGAACTTGTTTAGAAATACTTTTAAAATAATTGAAAGAAAAAAATTGGTTCCAAAAGCACTTACATGTTTTTTCAGGATTCACTTACTTTTTTGGTAAGTATTGGTTTACAAAATATTTTTACCAAAAATGCTTCTAGTCATCTTAAAAACACTTCTAAATAAGCATTGAAATGACCAACATAATTAGAAAAAAAAGGAACAAAGAAAAAAGGTAGCAAATAAAAAAAAAGATATCATCAATAATGCAGCACATAGATATTATACTCCACAGTGGCATCTCCTGTGGCTGGAGTGAACGTATGAGTTCTTGCTTCAGCATAACCTCTTGCAAACCTGAAAAGCCCACTGCCTCCAACGACAGGCATCTCCCTCACCTTGTTGAAAACCTGGTTCCTTCCTAGAATCGTTATAGTGCTGCCATTGTACTTCCCTTGTATGAAGTGAAAATTCATGGCCATCAGCAGGCCAAGTTCTTTCTGTGAGGCAGACGAATAGAACCCTTGAGACTTTCCCAGTAATTTTGAGGTCAATTCAGGCCCTTCAGTGAGTGGATTATCAATCATGGTAATTAAACCAAACGCTGTTGATGAATTGGTTGGTGGGTTCACCACTGGAACTGAACTGGGATTTGGACCGCCAACAATGTCGTGCCAGTACATCTTAAAGTGGCTGAACTTCTCTTTCTCGAGACCCAGAAGCTTGCGGTCCAAGGCTCTGACAAAATCGTGATCATCTCCTTGGACAAGAATTAGGGCAAACGAAGATAGAAGTGAGAGAATTATGAATTGTGTAGCCACGATTTGAGGTGTTCTGGCCATGGTTGAAGCGCTATAGCTACCAAAGTCGCTATTTTGGTTTAGAAATTGAGTAGCTTTGTGTTGACATATATAGTGTGGAATGAGTGACAAAGCTTGACCAAGTTGGGTTTTTTTCCATCATGGTGACCACCAACCACAGGCTGCCGACATTTTTTTCTCCCTTTTCTTTTGGGTCAGGTTGTGACATTGCATAATTAAACTTAATGTTTCACTAGTTAATCCAATTGGGTCTTAATTACTTTTCTAAAATGACTAAACAACTCAACACTTAATTGGTATGCAGCGTGCTGTGTCTGCAGGAAATTGTGGTGAGGTAATTATGAGAAGGGTTTGGTAAAGAAGTTGAAGAAAAAAGAAAGAATGACCCTTAGGTAAAGTATTGAAGGGGTTGGATGGCTTGTCTTATTTATATACTTATTTTTACTTTTTACTAATTTTTTTCAAACTCCGATGATCGTTAGATTGAATGAATTAAAAAAGATTAATGAGCAAAAATTAAAAAGAATGTCTAGAAGGTAAAAAAAAAAAGTGTGAATAGCACTACCCCTCCTAGAATCATAGTGCATGGTTTTTCTTTTTTTGGATTACTGGATAATTTTTTTTGGAATGCATAGTTTTTCATGACTAACATGTAGGTTTTGGTGGAACCGGATCCCCTTCGGACCTAAGGGAACTGAGCCTAAGGATTCAATGATCTGGACTATTGAAATTTGATCAAACGGCTACAATTATTATAACTTTTAGAGAGGCCCCCTGTTTGTAGTTGTTGAATTAAATTTCAATAGTCTGAATTATTTGATCCTTAAACTCAATTCCTTTGAGTTCGGAAGGGGTCGGTTCCCATTTTGGTGGCCTAACGCTTACTTTTGATCTCTAGTTTTTTGTGGACCCAAGTCATTTGGTCTTTCCATGGAAATGATGAATTTTATTTATTAAATAAAACTTGAAAATTGGGTATCCATAGCACATGCATCATCTCCATCTGTACAAAAGACATCGTCATATATACAAGCTCCTCTACCGTGGTCCGTAAGCCTTACTTCATCTCTTTGTCTATGTCAAAAAGTGCTGTTTTCTTTTTACTACAGTAAAAGTTTTATAAGAAAATTTCAGTGGTATGCAAACAAAACTTTGAGTGAAAGTGAATCCATTCATGGCTTAGAGAATCATTCATACAATATGGCATATATCCTATTGTATACACATCTCGCATCGCATGTGAGTGAGAGATGTATACAAGAAGATATATCTCAGTGACACAACTACTCTCAATAGCTTTAATTGCTGCAACTCCATCACAATCAATCATAACTAAATAATTATGGCTTGAAAAAAGGTGGAGATCAACACATATGGCATGGTCTTTTATTTTAATTGTGATTTAATTTTCTTCAAAAGCTGCAACTATAGCAAAAGAGTGAACCACCGGACAGCTTTTTGTGGTAAAATGTGAGAGGAAAAAACTACAAATAATTGCACAGGAAGGGATATGGCAAATTCACAAGTAAAATGGTACATAGTCTAAATGATTTCTTGCACACTTGGACATATATAATAAATTGGATACTAATTCAAGTTGTATGAATTTGGATTAAAAATGTTCATCCTCAGATTATAAGGGACAGCATGATCCAAAATCAGCATATATATATATATATGTATATATAGATGTTACAAGACCTTAAAACAAAAGCAAGCTAGACAAGCAAAGGAAAAAGTAAATGTGCCCAGAAAATAAGCATGATCAGTAATGCAGCACATAGACATTATACTCAACTATAGCATCCCCAGTAGTGAGGTTGAAATAGTGAGTTCTTGCTTCAGCATAACCCCTCGCAAACCGGAAAAGCCCGCTGCCTCCGATCACAGGCATCTCCCTGACCTTGTTAAATACTTGGCTCCTTCCTAGCACAGTTATGGTGCTACCATTATACTTGCCTTGAATGAAAGCAAAATTCATGGCCATCAATAGGCCAGCCTCTTTTTGTGAAGCAGATCCATAAAACCCTTGAGCTCTTCCCAACAATTTTGAGCTCATTTCAGGTCCTTCAGTAAGTGGATCATCAATCATGCTTATAAAACCAAACCCTGTTGATGAATTCGTGACTGGTTTCACCACTGCAACTGAACTGGGATTTGGACCGCTAACAATGTCGTGCCAATACAACCGAAAGTGGCTAAGTTTTTCTTCTTTTTTCAGCCCCAAAAGCTTTGTTCTAACAACACCTGGGTTTTTTCCTTGGACCGAAATGATGGAAAATGAAGAAAGAAGCACTATGACTTGGGTAGCTAAGAGGGGAGGAATTTTGGTCATGATCGCACCTCTTAGGTCATAAACTTGTCACTGCTTGTTCAGAAGATATTGCGGCAAGTTGTGTTCATATATATATTTATAGTGAATTAGACATAGCTAGCTTGACATAACAATTAACCAAAATTGGGATTTCATCATCGTTTTGGCTAACACATTAGTACCAAACAGAGCAGGGTTTTGTTAAGAAAAAAGAAGGCGAGTGACCATTTAGCATTGAAAATTCAAATCATGTTAAAATATTGCCAATTAGAAAATGGTCTTATTTGGTTTGGTGGACCTAAAACCCTATACTTAGGTGGACCAAAGCTCTTGTTTGGTTACTTTTGTTCTTTGCATTAAGAATAAAAAGGTTTTTAGGAAAGAAAAATTGGGATTTCAACCTAAACATTGAGTGAATGTGATAAGAAATAATACAGTGTCATTTAGTGACCTAAAGAGTGCCGGAAAGGACGCATCTTTGGTGTACAAGTTATCTTGCACACGGTAAATGTTGGGTAGCTAGATGTAGAGCGGATAACTGTTGAAAGCATTTAAGTAGTAAGCCCACCACAAGATGAACGCTCTCATATTTCGACTTCCACAAAGCCTTTGGTAGCACATTCAAGACATCACTGGGTTTGGGGGTGGTGATAGAGGTTCTAAGAATTTAAGAGAAAGTCATAGCGATATGAGCTGTTTATCATAACGATATGTGTTTAGTGGAACTGTGTGATGTATGCAGCTGAAGTTGATGGTCCTAACTCCTAAGAGCTTCAACGCAAGTATGACAAATAGGATTAGCATTTTCTCTTCAGCCCACTTGCACCCTTCGGTTCTGTGAGCTAAAGCCTGCTTAAAGATATAACCAAATCGTGCCCAGTGATCCATCTTAGGCAGCTAAAGCCCATTTCAATTCCTTCCAATTATAATTAGGCTTATTTTTAGCTACGCCGTTTGAAATTCGATTTTAATTTCATTTTGCTTCACATAACTTAAAAGTAGTCACTTTACTCTCTAAAACTCAAAGTTTGTTTCACTTTGCCCCTTGAAACTCGATTTTGATCTCATTTTGCCCCTTGAAACTCGAAAGTCATCTCTATAAAACTCAAAATCCGCTCCACATGCCTTAGATCTGTTAGTTTCTTATATGGGTTTAATTCAGGTGCACTAGGTTAATTAATTTTTTTTAAAATTTTTTATGTCTTCAATTTCTTTTAAACTTAATATTCTCAAAATGTTGAATGTTAATGTAGAATAGAGATTTATAATCAATTTTTTTTTCTTCACATGAGGCATAGTCTTATTGGGTGTTGGGTCACACATATGTTTTAGGAGGCGACTTATAAGTTTCAGGGAGAAGAGAGAGTCCACAAGTCAAAATGGAACGAATTTTGAGTTTCAAAGAGTAAAGTGACGACTTTTGAGTTACAGGAGGCAAAGTGATATCAAAATGAAGTTTTAGGGGGCGTAGCTAAAAATAAGCCTTATAATTATTAAAATTAAAGCACCCATTTGGCTAAATAATTTGAAGGCTTTGCTAAATTTTAAGGTTCATTTGATAAAAAAAGGGCGACAGTGACCTCAAGCTAATAAGACTCCTTAATTTTTTAGGGTCGGGGGAGGGGGAACGTCTATCGTACGCTACCTTACTCTTGTTTTGTAAAGAAGTTGTTTCCATGACTCGAACCGTGATCTTTCAGTCACAAAAGAGCAACATTTTTGCTGCGCCAAGACTCACCCTCTTAAGGTTCATGTGATAAAAAAAAGGTTGTACCCAGTGCACAAGGCTCTCGCTTTACGCAGGGTCTGGGAGAGGTGAATGTCGGCTAACCTTACCTCCATTTATGGAGAGGCTGCTCCCAAGTCTCGAACCCGAGACCTACCGCTCATGGGCGAAGACACTTGCCATCGCACCAAGTGCGACCTCTTTAAGGTTCATTTGATAATTATTTTAATTTCGTTGTCTATCAAATAATTTAATAGTTGAATATACAGTTTAATCTTGTGAGGTATAGTGAAATTTTCTACGAATTGTAACTTTATGAACACATGATGAGAATTTTTTAGAATATATTAGTAAGGGCCCAAAAATTAGAGGAATTTTATAGAACTTTCGCTTTTCAAAAATTTTAAAATATATTAGTAATTAACCTCTTAAGATAGTTTATTGTAGCTTATATGGATTATTTTAGTGCCACAAAATTAAAGCATCTGTGTTGATATTGGATGGGAAAGTTTGATAAATTATTGAAAATGTGATGCTCATTTCATTATAAAATGCATGCATATTATCTTTTGAGGGTTTAGGGTTGAGGTTGGCCCAACGTCATTGGTGATCCAAATGCATATAGTGCGGGCCCCACCGGGTTTGCTTAGGGGATGCCCTTTCGTAATTCAAGTCACGATGATGTACACGTCTACAAACAGAAATGGGGAGAAGGAAGGCTGGAATACTAATATGCATCTATTATTGAATTCAATTTACCCGACTTGATAGTACACTATCCCTTTCTGGAACGTCTAGTGCTAAAGTTATTGAATGGGTAAGTGACAATCCTTAAAATAGACCATATAACGTATTTTATCTGTTGAATTATAGGTGAGTATTTTATTAGAAGTTTCTATTATATTAATATACGTACATACATACATATATGCACAAATCCTTGTACACAAACAATGTGGACATAATATATGATTTTAACTCATTATGAGGTTTAAATCTATAAACAGAACAAAAACAACACACACATACATACGAAGAATTATCAATTGTCTATATCACGTGTATCAATTGTCTATATCGCGTGTGTTACATACTTTGTAATCATTATTGCTAGGGTCCACACAAATCAAAATGGTTGATGACATTATTACAATGAAATGTTTTTAGAAGATGTTCATGATTATTCCCATGAGTTGGAACCAAATTAGAATATATATGCCTCAAATCTACAAGGCCTATAGAAATCATTTTTACCATTTCAAATATAACTTGCAAGTATGCTGCTAAATAAGCTGAGGATTTTAAATGTCCATCTGGAAAAAAGGAAAAAGAAAAGCATATTTGAAGGATGTTTATTTTATATATGTTTCTTAACATCGATCGTGCTTCTCATCTTTGTTTCTTCTCACCTTGTCCCTTTCAGTCCTACACTTTTAAAAAGCCCAAGTGTCTAATTAGCTACACCCATAATTGCATACATGTCTTTTTCATTAGCCATTTGCCATCAGTTTTGTTAGAGAAGCAGTTGATGCTGTTCACATGACTCAAACAGCATACGTCGAATGAGGCGGCCATCATATGTTTCACTAATTAATTTAGATAAGGTCATGGTAAAGTCTTAGTAATTTATCTCGCTTAATTCTTTATCGTTTTTTTTTTTTTTGCCTTTATCGTATCATAAAATGGGTTAAGTTTTAACATTCTGTCTTTGTGCTGAAACTTTTATTTTATCTAATTATATAAAGTCTTAGTAATTTATCTCGCTTAATTCTTTATCGTTTTTTTTTTTTTTTTGCCTTTATCGTATCATAAAATGGGTTAAGTTTTAACATTCTGTCTTTGTGCTGAAACTTTTATTTTATCTAATTATATAATATTGTCTTTTCTAAAAATAATAATAATAATTAAAATGTCAAGCTGGGTGAGCTACGTGTGTCATTAGAAAACTTGACTCCCAAGAATCCCAATGTAGCAGCCATTGAAGCTTATATTAGGTTTGGACCGTACAGCTTATGGCCGCAAGTTCAATCTTTATTTCTGTCATTCTACTAGATCGAATAAACCAAGGAACTTTCCTGCTTGATTAATATATCCAGAACAAGGTTGTGAACTATTAATCCACTTTTGACCAAAAAAAAAAACACTATTAATCCACTCAAATTATAATGGAGTATCTCTTTTTTTACTACATAAAGCCTTCATAACACACACAAAAATTTTGCCTTCTTCACAATCAAAATCAACAACCCTGTATTATATTTTCTTAAAAAAAAAAAAAAGGTTTAGAGGTGTTGGGGATTATCTTTGACGAGACACAATAAGTCGAACACCCTCATCTGCCAACTTCATATAAGGATAAGAATTAAGAAATCACGATTATATGGGACAAAATAGAAGGGACATGGACAACAAATCATGGTAGTGGCACCGCACACGCAAGGTGCATAAACTTTTAGTAAGGATAATAGAGAGATCACCAATTTATATATGTTGCAGAAATGAGACATTTGATGACACATCTTTTTTAATTCTTTTTCGTTTCGTGGTAAAATATATTGGAAGATTTGATTGAAAATATGTGTGTCTGTGTGTGTATATATATAGATTAATTTGTCAATGACTTCCTCGTTATTTTTTTAAGGGATCTTTTGATATAGGCGCCTCAGTTTTGAATTTTCTAAATCAAACATCCATGCTTTTTAGTGATTTGATTAAGCTTTTTTTGTCATAATTTTGGTGCTATATGCACATTATATTGTATCAAATTTCCTATAATCTAGCCTTTTGATTACACACTTTCATCCGTTAGAGATAATTGTCAAAAAAAAAAGTTGGTTAGATTCAATTTATTTTCACAATAATGCTACAACTTAGCAATAATTATCTACGATTTAAGATATTTTCTTTCCAAAATAGTTTAAAATATTTTTAAATCCCCCAAAATCAAACGTACCGAAATAAGTTTTTCTTTTAGTACGTTAAGAGAAAATATGATTGAGAATAATATAAACGTACCAAAATAAAAATAATGTACCAATATTAACAATATGTATCAAATCAAATGTACCAAAATTGCAAATAAATGTACCAATTAATGATATTTGTAAATTCAAACGTACCCACAGATTATATATACGTAATGTATTGTACCTAATAATAATTCGTCAACAACTATACTTAAAAAAAACAGCAAAAAAAATATAATTTCACAAAAAAAATTGAAAAAATTACATGGAGTTTTTATGTTGATCACCAACTATTTGAAAAAGAAAAAACCATTTGTAAAAAGAATAATATTAAATGTTTTCATAACCAAAAAAAAAAAAAAAATTGTGATCGAAAAAACATATTTGGAAGAAGAGAAAATATAGTTTAATTACTAATATCTCCACTAAATAAGGAAAATTTCATCATGCAGATAAAATGATAAATTAAAAAA